TTTGTCCCTCCAAAGCAATGGTTGTAACCAGGAGGAAACATGATTAGAAAGTTAATGGGGTTGTTTTATGATAGCATTAGTCTCAAATTAATAATCTTAAGCTAACATAGACCAAAAAAATAAGTTTCATTGGTTTGATTTTCTTGAATATGTGGGCCACAATCACGATTTGGATGATCTTAAACGATAATTCCACAAAGATTTCAATTAACAACAGCATGATTAGTGTCCTTAAAAGGTATTTTATATTAGGTGGTGGAACCATAACTAGGAAAATCGTTAGTACATTTCTTGATTAATCAACTAGCTACCTTGAAAAAGTTGATTGGAAATGCTAAACACTCTACATGAAATTCTAAAACTGTAGGGTTCCCCCACCCCATCCCACCCTACGGACGAAACCAAGAGAATAGAGTTGTGGAGGAAAATTTCACAAAATTGAAAATTATAAGAATTTTTTTTTTATCTTTTGAAAATTGTGTAAAATCTTGAATTTCAAATTTAGTGCGGGGGCAGCGGGTTCACACCCCACCCCCACCTGCGGGAGGAATTCTCTTGCATGCTCTACCAAAAATTTAGGTGTCAACGTGAATAGGTGAGAGCTCTAATTTCCCTATAACAATAGAGTGGCCATGTGCTTATCTCTTTTTCCCTTAATTAAACATCTATATATGGTTAATTTTTACAATGTTGTCGTAACTCTTAACATGTTTGGATATAAAATCTTAGGAAATTTGGAATGAGTGGATTCATGTTTCCGAAAATGTTATAAAGAGATAGGAAAATGGCGATATATTGGTGCTTATGTAATGATTTTGTCTTGAATGATTTACTTATTAAGTGAATTACTTCAATTTTCTCATAAAATCAAGACTATCTTACGTATAACTGATATTAATTTTTTGTCGCACGACTATTTATCAAAAATCAAGTCGTAAAATGATGTACCAATCAATTCAATAACATTTACTTTCAAATTATATAATTAAATATATTTAATTTAGTGTACCAAACCTTTTATAACAAAAGAAATTGAAAATGATGCCCAAAGACTAAAGTTTAGAGAGTACAAAATTTTATTGAGTCTAAACTACTTGATGTAACCAATCTTTATGATACAGCCACTTACATTAAAACTAAGGGTCACTTCATTACATTATCTTTCTTGTGAAACCTACTTCTTGAGCCCCATAGCCATTGAAAAAGTCCCCAAAAAAATCATTGGATGCATATTTTCTAAAGCTATAAATTAATTTAACATTTTTGTATTCATTAATTGGGTGCTTAATCTCTTCCTTAATCTATGACCATAATTTCAGCTCCCTATTGAACATGCAAACAATAGATTGGTCCCACCATTATAGGACTTACAAAAAAAAATTTAATAATTTTTGTCTAGAAGCTAAGTGGCAACCAAAACCAAGACCAAATTTTCTTATCTACCAAATAAAAATGATCAAAAGAAATAGATATTAACATGTTAATTATTCTTCTAAAATAATATTTATTTAATGTATCGTCACAAATCGTATAGAACGCTAGTTCAACAAAATAAAACTACCCAAAATAAGTCCTCGTGAGATTAATTTATATTTGTCCCAAATCGATTCGAAATTCTAATAATATATTTGACAAGTTAATCTTTAAAAAAAAAGGCACCATAATTGACAATTCTATTGCACGTTTTTTTCTCTTATTCAACTACATTCTATTTCGTTTGAATAACGTCTCAAAACATTTTCTATAAAAATAATTGTAAAGCCAATTTCAAATGTCAATTTGACTTTCGTAGCATAGCATGATTGTGCTTATATAAATGCTCGGTGGAATATTGGAGTGGAGGAATTTCTTATTAAAATGTAAACAATTTTCATAATTACTTATCCTTAATCCAAAATTCATAAACTTTCAACCAAGATAATTATGCTTCATTAGGGTTTCTTGTAAAGAAAATTTTGACTAATTAAGTGAGAGAACATATAAAGAGAAGACATGGTGGGTCATTCTTGGAGTTGTGGTGAAGACTTTGGAAAAGCTCTTTGATTTATTCATTTTCACACACCCATTAATCAACTATGCTTTTGTAAACCCCCACCCCACCCCACCCCACCCCACCCCACATTCTCTCTCTAAACTCATTCAGTTTGATTGGGCAGATCGTATACAGGAAACCTATGCATAAACAAGGTAAATTTCAACGTCAATCACGCAAACATCGTAAACAATAATCCATCATCAACACGTAATGGTGGGCTCCAATCTAACTTGTAAGATGTTACACTTACACACTTACAACTAATTTGCACATTTCAGATATAATATTAAAGTCTTGTTTAGTATATGTTAAAAAGTTTGATTAAAATCTAAGTTAAAGTTAATAATTAGTTCATGTTCGATATTATTATTTGGGAAAAATAATATTTTGAATAGTGATTTTAAGAGAATGTGTTGTTAAAAAATAGAGAAAAGTTTTGAAATTATGTACAGAATATTTTATCGTATGAATGTATGGTTGAAAATATGTATAAAAAAAAAAAGTTTTCAAATAATGACCATAAAACATGGGCTTAATTTTAACTGCACATTTTATAGAATCCACAACTTTCCAACTAAACATTTCATCAGCTTTTATCAAGATCTACTAAAAATCTAATTTTAATCTCTACCAAACAGGGACTAAGGGACTATGAAATTCAAATTTTGAAATAAGATTGGTAATGGAGTATCATTCTGAGGCTACCCCCAAAAAATTCAAAAGATTGTAGGTAGGCCATCGTATACATGAAAATGTTACTTCATGCATTGCTATGTTCAGGTGAAAATATTCTCATATATTTAATATTTTAGAAAGATTTTTTACCTTATGTCATGACAAGTGAAGTAAATGCAAATTCTGTATTATATAATCAAACTACGAAGTGTGGAGCATTTTGTAGTTGAGGGAGTCAGAGTGCACATGAACATGGACCTCGGCTTTATAAATATATAGTTAATTAGAGGGAGGGTGGGGGGGGGGGGGGGGC